TAAAAATCGTACTTATCTAAAGGGCTACATGTCCAAAATGATTGCTACGTGTTCCTAATTAATCAATCTTTGTATATTTATTGATTCCTGCAAAATTGGGCCATGTAATATTAAAATTAACACATTTTTCTGCATTGTTTACATATTTTTATATGCGTTTTGGCATTTCTCTCTCGCAAATGCACCAAGATGACGTCACGCTAAAATTACGCCCAAAAATCCTCTCTCATTGGCGCAATCTTGTATTCTATCATTCTAGGATAAGGAGTGTCAAGAAGCTGCAGAGAAAAATGCTTGAAATGCTGGCCGACAGAAAAAACACACCAAATTTTTAGCAGAGAGGTGAGCGACTTACGGAAGGTTTCGAGACTGCTGTATGAACAACGATTGCGATTTAGTGGCCGATGTCCAGAATGTACTCAAATTATGGAGGGAACACTTTTCGACCCTTTTGAATGGCAGAATCACTGAAAGATGTGGAGAAGACGAACCTGGTCGATGACGATGGAGTCGATATCCCAGCGCATGACTATGACGAGGTACGAATAGCGATTATGCTGATGAAAGGTAACAAAGCTGCTTGAGCTGAGGGCCTGTCAGCTAAGCTATTCAATTATTAGCAAGGGACACTTATGCGTCCCCATTTTTACAAAATATTCTCAAAATCGGTACTGTCCCGACGAAATCCTTGACGGTGGTACCGGGAGGGGAATGGTACATGACGGCAGGAACTTTAGTTTGGGTTAAGGTCTCACACTGACGGGGTTAAGCTTTCGATGCTAACTATTTATCGATGTTAACTATTTAAAACGACGAATAGTTTTATATCAACTTTTGTGAACTTCTATTTATGTGTGTTTGTGCAACATATTTACCTCTATTCGTTGCAATAATATTAAACTATAATAAACAATTTTTTAGTAAGTAAGTTATTAGTTTTGCATTTTTTTTGTGTGTGTAGGGCCCTCCCTAAATTTCGTTCTGGCTACGCATATGGGTACACGACTGAGTAGTCATACATAAGTACTACCCAGAAGGTAATTTCAGGAGCTAAAATCTCATAAAAAAGGCCTTTCTTTCCTTTCTCCTTAATTTTTGTATGCAGTGGCACAAATTGAAGGGCTTCTGCTTTCGCTACTCAAAAAAGAGCTTTCAGAAGGGCTTTTGTAGGATGCCTTCTGAAGAAGTTCTTTTAAATTTTTCTTAATTCATAAAAATCATACTTCTTTAAGGAATTTATTTAAAGCTCATATCAAAAAGTTTTATTTAGACATAAAATGCCTATTGAATATTATTTGTAATGCTAAGTAATATAAACATTTACTTAAGTACATTCGCGTAAATTGTAAATAGGAAACACTTTATTAGGAAGCATGCAGGAAAGCACTTTTTTAAGTCGTTGTTGGGTAAGCCTTTTAGAATGGATTCACTTAAGACAGCCTACCTAAATTATCTTCAGGTTATGCATATACAAAATGGCAAAAATGGATCATGAAGCGCGTTGTAGGATATGCGGAAATTTGCAATGGTGGTACGTCACCGTCACAAGAAATTTGTTTTTTTTTTATGATTAAAAACAATTCAGAACTTGAGCTTTTCATCGCCATCAATCATTCAGCTCTACGGATTGTGCCAAAAAACTACATTGCTTATAATAACAGAACCAAAGCAACTGTACTTATAGGGAATATATTGGTACCATATTCGCTTGTATCTAGGGACACGATATCGAACCGAAAGTATCGATACGGTACTCATTTAAAGTATCGCTGTAAAAAATATCTGTACCCATTAACTCTTTAAACGCTAGTGTTACATATATGTCATGCTCGAATTTCACAGACTAATAGTGTTGTTGTGAAAATTTTTATTACATAACAAAGATTCAAGAGTGTTACATATATGTTTCAGGTCGTACAGACACCCCTTTATAGAGGCCGAAACTTTTTATTCTCGGTTTTTGTACATATCCTCACTTTTAGTATCCTCCAAAATTTTGTTCCTCTAAATTTCCTCTTTTGTTTCGCGTTTATTAATATCGGAATAAAAAGACCCGATATCCCAAATATCGATACCAAAATCCAAAAAACATTCTCTGAACATTGGTGTCGTATGTAGGCAGCTGTGGTGTAGTGACTACAAGTGCGCAAATCTCTGCCATGAAAACAGCTTCTCATAACAAATTGCAATCGCCGTTTAGTGTCGTCGTAAAACAATGGGGACCTACCTTTGTGTTACAGCATCAAGGTGCACGCGACAAATTGGAGGTGATGCTTGGCCAAACACTAACATATTGCGCCAATCTATTATTATTTTTACACGAAAAACACCGAGACCGCGGGTTCAAATCCCCTACATGCAATCCAAATGATAGTACAAACTTCTGTTCTTTAAATCCCATTTTACATCGGGAAGAATTGTTAATCACATTATCTTTTTAATTTGAGTTTATGTCATTCGATACGATACTGGTACTCGATTCCAAAAAATATCGCTTTAAAACTATCGAGTAAAAAATATTGGTATATAATGCCAAAAGTATCGATATGGTATCGTATCGTATCAAAATTCGTGTCCCTACTTGTGTCTTCGTTTTTGATTTGGATGATAAGTGTCTTGGTCAAAGGGTTCAGGATTATGGCAGCCTTACTGTAGATATGCAACTGGCTATAGTGCTGTTTAGATTGGAGAGGCTGCTTCAGTCGGTAAAGATGCAAGATTTTTCGGAATCGGTGATTGGGGAACATTGCAAAGAATTACTGAACGAGTGTTCAATTTAAAGAAAAATTTTTATTTTGGCCCGATGCTCAAGAACGTCAGAACATCGTGTCAAGTACATTTAACGAATTACCACACTGTGTTGGGTATGCCGATGGCACCGAAGTAAAATTGGTTGAAAAACCTGAGCCTGAAAGTACAAGTCGTCGATCATAAACTTACAGTACGTCAAATGGTTCTCGGATATCCTGGTAGCGTCCATGACAGCAAGATTTTCAGCAACTGCGAGCTCTCAACAAAATACTCCCAGTACCTAAGTGGGGCAGAGTGGCTTTCTGCGGATAGTGACTACAAACTGACAAACCGTTTAGAGCCAACTCATTTCAACCGCACTTTCTGTCGATATCGAGTTCGAATAGGTAATTGTTTCGGAATTATGAGAGATTCAATAGTCTGAAGGAATAAAAAATTCAAATCAAAGATGGTTCCGCGTAAAATTTACACGTCGATGGATATTGGCGTGCGCTATTTTACACAATATCATAATAGATCCACAAAGTGATGACTCTTGCGCACTTGAGTATCAGGCAGATGATGATGATAATGAATATGATCAAGCCGAAAGTGACAATTTTCCATGCATTGAGGGAGAAGAGAAGCGCCGAACTTACAACTACAAACCTTCCATTTGGTTAAATTTATTATAATATTGCTTTTTCTTACTTAACATATAAAAAAAAAAGTGTGGAATAAAGACACAACCCAAAAAAATTAATTAGTCGGTCAAAATTTGAGAATTGGTCTAACATTTTTTCGAAGGTCGAGCTTTTTTTGTGGAATTAATTTCTTCTGCTTCACAATGATAACACAATCATTTGGAAGCTATAGTTATTAGCTTTTTTCGAAACTGCTTGGATTTGATTTATTTTGTCGCTATTGGTAATACAAATTCTCCTCATTTTTTAAATAGTTAAAACTGATGATTTTTCCTTCCCATTTTATTTTTTATTTTGTCCAAAAAATTGTTCCTTCAAGAGAATAACGTGAATAACTTTCGTCTCATTGCATTCGGGCAACATTTTTTCCTGTAAATGGTTTTTTAGAAATGAGGAAAATTTGTATTACCAATAGCAAGAAAATAAATTAAATCCAAGCACTTTCGAAAAAAGTTAATAACTATATCTTCCAAAATGATTCGAATTTCGAAAAGTCGTAAAATTTGAATTATCATTGTGAACAAGAAGAAATTAATTCCACAAAAAAGTTCGACCTTCGAAAAAATGTTAGACCGTTTCACAAATTTTGACTCTAATAGAAATAAAATAGTATTACAGTGAAACCCGCTTAAGTACCTAACCCGCTTAAGTAACCAACATTTTTGTGCACCGTGAATTTTTTGAAATAGTCTGAAGAACATCCCTCTCTTAGATTCATTTTGAACCGACTTCCAAAAAAGGAGGAGGTTATCAGTTCGTCGGAATATTTTTTTTTTTTTTTTTATGTATGTTACCGCATAACTTTGGACCACGTCAACCGATTTCGATAATTTTGTAATAATAATAATTTTGTAACGGAAAGGTAGTGCCTCAGAGGTGGTCCCATACTAATTTGGTTTAGATCCGATCATTGAATCATGAAATATATAGAGATATATATATATATTTTTTAAGTCGGTTTTTTTTGCTAAAAATTACTTGTCTTTTTTTCGTTTAGCTGTTAAAATTTTTTCATCTCGAATTCTAATTGCTTTTCCTGCATTATTACGAGCAACTCCGCAGAACTAACATTTCGGTTTCCCTTTCTTTGTTTATCTTTTGCCGTACACTTGTCTTTAACGCTTAAAACTTCGCACGTATCTGAACAACTTGCTGCACTTTCTCGATAAGGTAAGTTTTGCGAATTGCCATCGCCATCCATCTCAAAGTCAGACAACAACATTTTCTCTTCATAATCGAGTAAAACTTCTATATTGATGCTTTCTACAATAACGGATGGATTTACACCCTTCCTTTGCCCAAATATTTTCTCAAGTGCGTCGAAATGAGGACAGATTTTTGCAATATAGCCTGTAATAAATTTTAGAAAGGCTTGCATACAATTTCGCTATACCATACGATGTACTCAAAGATATACCACTAACGCATTTTTCATCGCATTTTCTAGTAGACCAGCGCCT